CACATGGGTTCAGAGAGGGAGAAAATTCTTGCTGCAACAACACTGTTTTCTGTGACTCCAGGCAGGATCACAGAAATCACGAAAAATCATCCAGTAATGTAGGTGGTGGTTTATTTTTTTTCATGTATCTTTCTTTCTGCTGCAGTCCTGTAACTTGGGTACTACTCCAGTGAAATCCATTGGGTCTCACTAGTCATGATCTCCTACTGATTTGAGATGTTACTTGATTAATAGATGGATCTGACTCAATGACCAAAACCCAGTCCACTTAACCATGGTGGCACATGAAACATGACCAGAGAGGATACAGCAAGCACTGTGTATTAATACCTATCCATTTCCACTTGAAAAAGAGGAATATAAAGGCTATTCCCAGTTCCACGTGTTCTCTCTCCCCAGTGTTAAGCTAGCAGCTTGCTGAACCCTAGATTTCTGCCAACAAAGACTATCTGTGGGATTTTAAGGGGTGCCAGAATGGCAGGAGGCACAGCAGTAAGGAGACAGCTAATTGACACACAGGAAGGCTGGCAAATGGTTTTTTGTTACTGACAAGAAGGAAAAATCACATTGGAGTGGTGCACTTGGAAGTGATATTTATGCAAATAAAAGATTCCAAGTTCATGCATATGCAATTATTTGTATGTAAGTATGATGACAGGCAGATATAATGACAACCACGGCAACTCAGTTGTTCTGTTGATGGATTACCAATGGTGTGGGCAGGAAATTGCACTCCATACTAGGACAGCTCTGACTAAGGAAGCATCTCTGATGGAAGGAGCCTTTTCAGCCTGTAGGCATTCTGCTGAGACCATCCACTGGGGGGCTGGAACTAAGCCTGTGCTGTTCTCTGGGCAGTGTGGACAGACAAATTCCAGAAAGTTACTTTCAAAACTAGCAAAAACTGAACATACTGCTCACTGGTCAGCTCAATATAGTTTTGTTACTATCACTGGACCTAGTTTATAAGGGATCTTACATCACATCTGTGTGTGAGTGGAGTAAGTACCACAAGCATATTTTAATCAATGCCAAGTCAGCTGGTGCAGATAACTTGACTGCCTGTGCTCAGGAAAATAAGTTGTATTTAGTTTTAGCTGACATATTTCATTGTAGTTGAATTTGTAAGTCTTCTAGTAGGTCTCATATAACCTGATATTAAATCATTCATGATTATACAACAGATTTCATCATAATGCTAGTATTTAATGAAGTTTTACAACCACACAAATAAAGGTTTTAAGAGATGTTTAACTGTTTGTTTTGTATAATGTTACTTGATCTGTATTAAACAGTCAAACAACCCTTTTTACATGTGTTATATATACAATTTTGTATACAGTTAAATATAAATTTCTATTGTAAGAATGGTGAATTTTGTTATTCAAACCCAAAGAACCAGGCTGGTATAAGACATTAATCAGCCTGCATTTTCTAGTTCTTGCATTTTTCTAAAGAACAATGGAATGTGGTAGAAATTACATCAAGTCATGGAACTTCTTACTTAGCTTTTTATCCACACAGGCAAGACTCTGAGGAAGGCACTGTATAGCTAAGAAGCCTGTGCTCTAAGAAAATACACATGCAATAATCTTAATTACATACACAGTTCTAGAAATGAGATGTAAAGCCACCTATGTGCATGTGCATGAAATAACTATTCAATTAAATACAGCATTGATTTCTGTGTCTGCTAAATAAAATCTAGTGTAGATTTCAAACAATGATATACTATCTATAAGTTATTATCTAGGAGATGATAACACATGTATGTCATTACTTTTTAAGCTGTATCACTTCATGTAAGTATTGGCAAGCTCGATTTGCAGTGCATGTGAGTGCATTAGAAGATTAATGTCTGGAGCCCATGAGAGATTAGTTTCCACTGTATGTAACCAGTTTGAGACAGAGCAGTTTGGGTGCTTCTACAGCAGTTCTCAGGCACTTTCCAAAAGTGCTCTTTCTGTGACAGAGATTAATTACCAGAAAGATTTGCTACTACTACTAAACACTCTTCAGTTTTACAGTCATTAACTACCAGTATCTAAATAGAGTTAAAGGGTTTTGTATTTAGTACCTGTATTTACATCAGGATCAGAACCGTCTTCTGCTTCAGTGTGAAATAAACTTTGGAAATAGCCTTCTTCTCGAATCAGGCTTGTTTGTAAACAAGTTAAAAATATAAACGAAGTAATGAAAGACTTCTGTTGTACAAAAGCTAGGCTGCTGGAAGAAATCAGGAGACTGTTCTATGGGGTGGATATAGGAAAGATATATTCCTAATTTGATATAGTTCATTGTGGTTTCTTTTCTGCATAGTTTTTCGTCACATGAGTGGTATTTCTTATGGCAAAACTTTTCAGACCTCTTTAAGAGGAGGATAAAAATTTGGAAGGATGAGTTTTGTGAGTGCATTAAGACAGCACAGCAGTTTATTGTGTCGATGAATACTTCTGTTGCAAAAGCAGTAAGAAAAATTGCCCTACAATTCAAAACACATGAAGAAGATGGAAAAGGAAGACCTGTTTTCCAGGGAATTAGCACAGGGTATGGGAGGTTCAGGACTGCTGGCAGGATACAGGCTGCCTGTGCCCTCCCTGAGCCCTGGACCAGGATGTGCCCTGAGTGCTCCCTAGCACAAGCTGTCTCCCCAGCTCTGCCACTCATATAATACCTTATTTTAAAGGAGCAGAGTTAGTGTATAGAAGGCAACCACAAACTTATTAATCATGTATTTATCAACTCATATTTTACAGCATTTTTCAAATACTGCCTCATGTTTCTTCTTCTTAATTACTAGAGGATTTTAATTCTCTATATCCATTCTGCAGCTGATTAGAATTGTAGAACAGTCAGCTAAACCAGAACATCAAACTTCTATTTGATAATATAAAAATATGCTCATACATTTTCTGTACCTTCAAGAACATTTAAAGAAAAATAAGAAAGCATAATCATTATGGCCATACAGAGCAAGAAGAGTCTTTTTCAAAAGCGATTTCTGGTTTTCTTGGTGTTCTCAAGTATGTTCTCATTATGACTTTGCTGTGGGATGCATCAGAATCTGATGTCTAAACGCTGGAAATGGGTTTCCCTCCTCCACTCAAAACCAGGAAATCCAATATAATGGCTGACATAAAAGTCCTGGTCTGTCCTTTGGTCTGTTCTACAGGCTCTGACACACTGACTGCATTGGCTTTTTCCATGCTATTGAATCACTTGGAAATAAATCTTTCACCTATGTTAAATTCTATCAAACAGAAAATTTGTGAATTAACTGGTTCCCTAATATCAGCTTGGATCAACTACTTTATTTTTTTATAAAGGAATATTAAATATTATTTCATTTAGTTAACTCCACCAATGGCTTGCAAGTCTATCTGATGTAAGTTACAGTGCCCTCTGATTCGAAGCTGTCATGTTTTATGCAGTGACACCTACAAAGCCAGACTATATTCCTACTACATACCATTTTGTTACAGAAGACTTTGATACATGATGTAATGTCATGCATCTGCACACAAACAAATCAAACCAAAACCAGGATCCTATAGCTGTGTTTCAAATGTCTTCTATGAAAATATGGGGAAATTTGCAGAATTTTTAGTCTTTATGTGGCAAAATAGTGTTAGAGACAACCTTCTCTAACAGTTAGACCACTTGAGAGTACTACGGTTTATCATAAATGTCAGTGCTTTTCCCTGCTCAAATGTCCCTGATTAGATGAGAGGGTATCTTACAAGATGTATTTTGGACAGGCATGCCATATATGAGTTCTGCTTGCAGGATATTGCAAATAAGGTTGATGAAAGGTTGACTGGGAAAGAAAGGTAGCAGTCTCACGATACCATTCTAATACCTAACAAATGATAGAGATGCCATAAATCTTTCCTATGGCCAATTCCAACTCGGGGAATACCTAACCCTGGAAGTGCCTTACCTACAGCAATGTGCAGCACTCAATACTTCACTCTAACACAAGGTCATCTGTGCTCCACTGAGATCCAGAACTGAGATTTTCCCCTTAAATATGCTGAGGGATTCAAAATAAAGGTATCCTCGGGTATGAAGAACACACCTCCCCAAAAACTGCAGGTACAGGTTTAGTGGGAATGGACTGAAATGTTTTCCTTTCATATAACAGCCTTGCTCACAATGATCCTGTTCAATGGCATTGAATTTTTTTTTTTTTTGCAAGCCCGTATCCACCTACACTGGACATAAAGGCACACATGATGAAGAGCATAAAATTACAGTAGGGCATTATGATCACGCAATCACAGAGACACATCGGGGGGTCACATCGGGGGGTCCCAGCCAATTCTGCTACTGAACAGTGCATTCCCATGGATGTGGCGGATCCTGCTGGGCTGTCACGGACCTTGACACAACTGTCCCTGCGAGTCTCGTCCCCAGGTCTTGGTGACAGGAGCGGCTGGCTCTTCCTACGGGGTTTTGCGGCTGACTCGGTTAGCAGAGGCTGCTTTCATTCCCCGGGGCAAACCTTCCTTCCCCAGGCTTGCCCCAACACCTGCAGCCCCCAGGGCAGCGCCGAGCACGCCGTGCCCCAGTTTCCCGGCCTGACTCTGGGGACAGCAGGCTCAGCCCCGCCGCAGGCTGAGCGCCGTGCCAGGACGGCTGTGCGGGACAGCCCCGCTGCCAGCGGGTCCGGACACCCGCACTGCCTTCCCAGCCACGCTGCACCGCCGCTCTGAGGAGCCCCGGGCTCACACAAACCAATCCATCTGTTTTAGCTGATAAGTAAGCGCCGCAGGAGCCTCAGCAGCGCACCGGGAAAAGACTTTGGGAAACCTCACGTTCGGCTGAACGAGTGGGCAGACGGGGTTACTCCAAGCGGCACCTCGCACAGACCGGCAGCGCGCCGTCCCCTCGCCGGTGCCGCACACCTGCCCGCGGAGCCGCGCATCGCCGGACCGCCGCCGAGCCCCCGCCCCAGCGGCAGCGCAGCCGGGCGGAGGGGCTGTCGGCGCTGCCCTTACCGATGATGATGGCACAGGCGCTCACCAGCCCGATCTCCTTCTTCAGCGCCACCCGCTCGGGGCCGCCGGGCAAGCGCTGCTCCCCGCCGGCCATCGCTGCCCGCGCTGCTCTGCCCCGCGCCCCGCGCGCATGCGCCGCCCCGCGGGCCGGGCCGGGCCGGGGGGGCCGCGGGACCCCTGAGGGGCGGCGGGGCCGGGGCCGCGCCTCAGCCGGGCCGCCCTCGGCACCGGGGGCTGTCCCCGGGAGGCTGCGGGACCCCTGAGGGGCGGCGGGGCCGGGGGCCGCCCTCGGCACCGGGGGGCTGTCCCCGGGGAGCTGTGGGACCCCTGAGGGGCGGCGGGGCCGGGGCCGCGCCTCAGCCGTGCCGCCCTCGGCACCGGGGAGCTGTGGGACCCCTGAGGGGCGGCGGGGCCGGGGCTGCGCGTCAGCCGGGCCGCCCTCGGCACCGGGGGCTGTCCCCGGGAGGCTGCGGGACCGGGGCCGCGCGTCAGCCGGGCCGCCCTCGGCACCTGCGGGCTGTGCCCGGGGAGCTGCGGGACCCCTGAGGGGCGGCGGGGCCGGGGCCGCGCCTCAGCCGGGCCGCCCTCGGCACCGGGGGCTGTGCCCGGGGAGCTGTGGGACCCCTGAGGGGCGGCGGTGCCGGGGCTGCGCCTCAGCCGGGCCGCCCTCGGCACCGGGGGCTGTCCCCGGGACGGCGGAGCAGCGCTGTGCGGCGGGGGCTGCGCTCGGACATTCGGCGTGTCGGTCCTGTCCGGTGCCACGAGCCAGCCTGGCGCCGTGCCCGCCCCTGACAGAGCCGACCCCGCGCGGGCTCCGAGGCGACCGCCTCCCTTGGGCTCTGTTAGCTGAGGTGGTGCGAGAACGTAAAGAAAGGGCATTTTATTGCTTGTTATCGGTACTGCCAGAGTTAAAACCAGGATGCCCAATATTGGCTGTTTTCCGTATTTTTTACCTTAGTTTCTCCGCGCTTTCTTCCCACGTTGTGTGGCACTTCTGAAGGGATCCTGCTTCGGCTCCTTGGCACCCGCGGGGCTGAGGGGCTGAGGGGCTGTGCCCCATCGCCCGCGGGGCTCGAGCTGCAGCTGCGGGTATCTGCCGGGGAGCTCAAGGAAAGAAATGTTTTCTTTCCTCACACAGGGGATGGAGCTTCAATGTTGGGATGTGCGTTCGGCAAATCTTTCGCTCTGTGAACAAACTGCCTTCAGAAAAATGTCAATGAATGAAGTCTGCTCTCGTATGATATCAAAATGCTAAATCGTAGTTTAGGATCCGGGGCTCCTCACTCAAGCTGTAACAGCCAAGGGTTTATTGATGGAAATGCCTAGTTCGTTACTTGTTTATAAGATTAACAGCTTCCTGACACCATTTCTATGTTCAGAGAAGACCCCCGTGTAGGTGATCTATTCTGAAAGTGCACAGGTTAGAAAAATCTCCTAAAAAGATGATGTGGTAACTGGCAACGCGCATCAGTGGGGCAAACAGCGAGGCAGTGGAAACTGGTTGTGGCGGGGTGGAACAGGGAATGTCTGGTTTTTCACCTCAGTGAAGGGAGTTGGGAGGTTTCTGTGGTGACATCAATCTGATTTTCTTTGTCTTTACAATGAAAAGTATGACCTGACAACTGGTAAGCCTTTTGAGAAAATCCGTGGATTATTCATAGAAAGCTGATAATTGTAAGTGATTTTACTTTATACTGCTGCTTTATTATGCTGCTTTTATAGAAAGGCTTACTGATTTTCAGAGGCTGAGGCTTCTTTCCTAAGTTGATCTACTGCTCTGTTTCTGAACGAACTGCCTCACTAACCACTTCTAAAATGTCCTTTTATTGAATGACTGTGTGATTTTTATAAGAAAGTTTACAAGAAGAGTTACTTTTTGAACTATCTAAACAGTACTACTGTTCTCCTTTCCAAGACCATGAAATATGTGCAAAGACTGGAAACAAAGTTTCAGGTATTCAAAAGTAACCTGATGTATTTATTGGGTGTTTCTTCTAGGCACCCTAATTGCCTCATAGCTTTGTTTCGTAGCAACTCATGTATATTCTACTAGATACTTCTGAAAGTCTCCACATGTTAGCCTTATACAGACATTATAATATATTTTAGGTAAGTTTTCTATGATAGTCTATTTCTTTTGCAAAAGCTAAAAAAATCAGTTTGAACATCATTAATAAAGTACAAAAGTCAAGAAATTTGTGAATGAATGGTGTTTCTAACTCTACTTTCAAAAACCTAATGAAATTTAGGCTTAATTAACCTTTAGAGAAAAACCACACTATCTGTTAAATGAATGACACTTAGAAGGATAACACTATGCTTGTTTTCCTTGGCTGTGGTAAAAATGTTGGTTTGCTCTGAAATATGTTTATTATCTTTGTAGTATTGTGAGGAAGATAGAAATCCCAGTCAGCCCTCTTCTACTGATTAGTGAGCAGCAGAGCATGCTGGCTGTGGATGATGAAAATAAATGCTAGAATTCCATTAACTCTAATAATCTTTAACTGATCAGTAGGATTTATAAAAAATTGTCTGGCCAGTTTTGAGGGCTTTGCCAGGGAAAATGCTAGATATTTGTACCTGTGTGTACAGGTACAAATATCTGTTGTAATATACCTCTGCCTGTTGATATATTTTGTTCTGGAATTGTTCTTCCTTACTGAAAGCCAAGAGGAAAAACTAAGTGACTATACCAATTTAACAGGTAATAAGAAGGAAAAACCTAACTGAAAGGCATCAGAAATCTCTCCTTAGAAGAGGTAGTCAAGAAATCATTAAAGTTGTGAAAAGCAGAGGAACCTTAAACCTTGTCTTGATATCCAGTTTCACCTTGTGTGCATTTTGAACAAAGCTAAAAGAGCTGGCACTGGAGAACTGAGTGAAATCTCAGCTTCATCCCAATGAAACCTTTTGCAGCAAAACATTAATGAACTTTCACATCTCCCTGTGGCTTAGAATGGCAGGATATTGTCTGTTGCACCTTCCAGGTTCAGCACCAGCTCCTGGTTTGTGAGTTTGATCTTTGAGGGCAGCGTTGTGCCCTTGCCTTCCTGCCACGTGAGACTGACTTCATGCCCTATGGATTATAGGTTAAGGGCAACGGGGTGCAGCCAAGAAATCTGTGCTAGTAACTTAATTTAGAATTGTAGTCCTGGACCACTGTAGAGAACTTAATTTTCCTCACTTGTCCCAGGACAAATTCTTTCCCTAAATCCATATAAAGAACGCTGATTTACTGATTCTTTTCCTAGGGTGTGCATAATAATTTACTTTCCTTTTCAAAGTTTGGAGTGTTTTACTACCGGTGACGGATTAAGCAGGTGGCTGTTTACAACACAGGTTTTCAATATGCCCACATCCATAGCAGAACACTGGAGTGTAAAACAGCAGTGAGCCAGAAACCTGTTGGAAAAGACAGCAGTGACAAAGGTTGCCCACATTAACTGCCAAAAAACGCTCTTTTTTATTTTCTTCCTATTTTTTTTCAGGCTGAATGCCTGCCTGCTACACTGGTTTTTTTGCTTGAGGATGAAGAGAGGCCTTTTCTCTATTTGTGGTAGTTTGGCTTATTTAGGTTGTGTATTTTGTCCTATTGTTAATATAGTTTCAAAGTGAGCAAGTCAGAGGCCATGTAGGTTCTAATTAGTAGTTATCTGAGGCAACTCTTGGAGCAGAAAACTCATTTAAGTTGTTTTGGATTTGAACATACTGTATCTACTTGAGTGACAAAACATTAGAAAGCAAAAAAGCCAAAGTTCTTTGTCGGAAGGCAATTGCTGCATAGCAACTGCATAGAGAGGATGCAGTGAAGCCTGCATGTATTCTCTTTTGTGGCTATTTTTGTCCTTATTTTCTTTATGGTCTGAAATGTACAGAAATTCTTGAAGTTGTTGGAATGAGTTATTTCATTCATTGCTACTTATGCTCTAAAAAAAAAAAGCAGCAAATAATGGCAATTTGAGTTTTGTGTTTTGGCAAGAAAAAAGGAAATTTAGTATGTTATTTTTGAAGGGATGCTGTGACTGAGTTTTCAAATGAATGTGGTCTTTGATATATGGAAAGGAAGTAAGGTTAAAGAAATATAAAGATTCTCCTTGATAGCAGATATTTTTCCCAGTCTCACTCCATTTTTGTATCCATCTACAAAAATTTCTGTTTTCCTAAAATATAACCACCCTTACAAAACCAAAACTTAAAATAGTTATTAAAACATAATTCAACTTTGTACATAATGGGGTCCATGAACAGCAGCTGGGAAATAGTTACTTGGCAGAATAACCTGTTTGTTGTATATTGTTAAAGAAACAGTGGGCTGGCTGGTTTAGCAAAAGGAAATTTGGAGAGTAATGGGATTGTAAAGCATGTGTTAATTGTTAATAAACCTGTGAATAAGGTTTCCATGTTCTGTCTGTGGAAAGCTCATACAAAACAAAATGTAGGAGACTGATCTTACCTATCCTGTGGATGTGCCCTGCACAAGTGTGTGTTAGAGGGGTTTGGCCACCCCTGCAGCTGATTCGGGCCTTCGGGGTCCCACTGCAATGGGCTCGCTGTTACTCTGTGTTTCATCACACTTCTGCAGCAGGTCAGAAGTTTGTGGAGCATTAGGATTAAGCAAGAACACAAACAGGAGAAGGCCACCCATTAGTGGGGAGTGACATCAGCGGGAGGGACTCATAGGGAACCTTTCCACTTTAATGTGGTTGAGTCCCAACAGCTGACTCTAAATCAAGCCCAGGTGCAGGTGGATCAGTTACTTGTTGAAAGCATCCTACTCTCCATCACTTTTCTCTGTTGTGTTCAGTCTGTAAGACAAAGGTGGAAAATGGTGTCCTTTGTATTTCTAATACTATTTTCTATTGTACATCTCTTTTCAGAAGGCTGTAGCAGAAGACGATGCATGAGTATGTGACTCCTGTGTGACTCCCCAGCACCTACATAAGAAAATGGGGGATGTACATTTGAAAAGGAAAGGCAGAATCTTTTTGTCTAATTCAGTAAAGAAGGAAAATGTCCAGAGTAGCTTTTATTGTGGGTAGCTACTCTTCTCTCTAATAAGGGCAGCAGGAGAGAGGTTCCCTCAACTGTGGAACTGTTCTGGCATTATGTTAAGGAGGCTCATGGAATC